TGCCAAAACATCTGAGACTTTTTAGGTTTCAAACAAATTCAGTGGAGTTTTTCAAATCAAAGCTTTCTCTTTCTTTCAAAGGAACACTTGTATAAACAAAATGTTTTCCACTGATCCTTTCAGTAAATAAAGCCTATAGCTTTGTAATATCAGATATTGCCAAGCCTCTATCCACTAGATGGCAGTGTTACCTCTTTTCCATCTGTTTTTGCCTCTCTCTGTAAACTCCAAGCTCCGGAAGAGGAAAAAAATGTTTAAAAATTACGCTCCGACCAAGCCTTAGGAGAGAAGAAACTTTTAATCCACGAATACAAAAAATGGAAAAAGTATAGAAGAAGGAAAAAAAGAGACCAGTCCAATTTAAAAATAAGAGGCATTTGTAAAAAGTCCATCCATAGAAACAAAGTTAAGGTAGAAAAGATAACACAATAGTTTTAAACCAGGGTTGATTCGCCACTTATTTTCTTCTGTCTTCAATTTTATTTTAAACTCCAAGTCTTTTGGGTTTTTCCTTCTTTAATAATAAAATTTTTTCTCACCATTTCGACACACTGTCTCTCCTGTACTGCTTCTGTTTCAGGGGCTTGTCCCAACCTTCTGCAGCCATTTTGGTGCTTCTCTTGTAGATGGAAAAAAGAGCTTTTTCTTGGATCAATCAGGGACTTTGTGATGTCCCTGAGATCAGCAGGACATGCTCTTCTCTATCACTGTTCCTTCAGAACAGTTTAAGTCCAAAAGGACCGTCCAGGAACAGAGATATCAACAGCAATACTGGAGCCCCAAGATTGCATGTTGTGTCATTGCGATGTCAAGAACCGCCTTCTCAAATGTATCTATTCTTGCATTTTCTTTTCCCTGTTTTACCTTGGAAATAGACGTATTTTACTTTTATTTTCTTTGATACGATTGTAAGATGAATCCATCAATAAATTATCTAATTATCATTTGATTTGCCTTGGTAAATACCAAATAACAACACAGGGTAAAGCAAATGAAACGCAGATGTACTCAAATATTTATGCATCATGACAAATGGGCATATAAGAAAGGAAAAGCATAGGCTTTTATTCACATGCAGTAATGGCTAAATGAAACAAAAGATCTTGAAACTATGCCCTTATTAGGCCATCACATTTGTTAAATCTTCCATGGGATGCAAAATGAATTATACTGGCTATTTAGTGGCCTGACAGTATATAGCTACCAACAGCTGTATAGGCTTCTTCCCCCCCCCCCCCAGCATCACTGATGTTGTAAACCAATTACATTATTTCTTAGTTCAGCCACAGTCTAAAATCATATTGACTCTTCAAAGTCCTGTAGAAAGTCACCGCTTACCCCTTCTAGAAGAATGAAATATTTTGGGAAATATTTAAAAAGGCAGAATATTATATTTCCCCAAAGGGAAAAATGGAGAAACATGGGGGCGGGGCTTGAGGCAGAAAACAGCCCCCACTTTCCTTAATAGCCACAACAAATGTCAGCACTAAAGAGATAAAGAGCTTATTGAAAGAGGAAGACAAATATTTAGATAGCTCCATTCATAGGCAAAGCAAAGACTTCAAGCAGAAATCCATTCAAGATAGGATATTTTGAAACTCCCTGCAGCAAAGCCTGAAGAAAGGCAGAATGGTAGGATTAGAAGCAGCCCCTTCACTCAAGATCCAACACAGGACAAAAGCCATTAAGCCCAATAGGAATTGCCCAACCCCTTCCAGAACCCAAGCCCCTTCATTGCACCATCCCAGAGCAGCCCAAACTTCACCTGGGAGCTCAAATAAACAATAAGCCAGGGGCTGACCAGATTAGCTCAGACAAATACCTAGGATTTGCATTTCCTCTTTTGCCTATAGAGCCAGCTATGACCCCTACATAACCCCTCCATGACCCTATAGGAATCAGACAATAGCCAATAAAATAGGAAACTCAAGTGCAAAGCCCAAAGAAGGTATAAACCAGGTCTGAACTGTATTTTTTCAGCTGCCCAGAACCACAAACTCATGTGGTTCTGCTTCATCAATAAACCTTCTTTCCAATCAGCCTCCATGTTTCCAGTGTCTTTCTCCCAGCTTGGAACTGAACTAGATGGATATTTTTTCCCACAGTCCGAATCAGTTTGAGACTGGTTTAAATATTTAAATGTTTTACTTTTATATTTTATTAATCTCAGTAAGCATCTTACTTTGGAAATAACTCCTTAACACAATAAATATGAGCTAACGTCACAAATGACTCATGTATGTTTAGTCATACTTCAATTGTACAGTACTTGGTTTTTGTAATTTGATTGATATTACCTTGGACATTATATATATTATACCCTTTTAAGAGAGAGGCATAATTGCTATGGCAACAAGTATTGATGATAAACAAATGGCAATCATTTCAGTAAAGTGCCTTCTATTTCTCTATTCTTGGAGAGAACGCTTTGACATCACAAAATTGTTGAGTTTCAAACCAAGGTAATTTGTATTTTCTCCTTGTATTTATGGTATAATGTGTAGGTGGTGATAAATGACCATAGCAACTGAAATGTTTGTGCACCGAGTTCTCCAAAAGAAAAAATGGTACTTTGATAATTAACTTCCACTGAACAAGAGGCAGTGCAAATTAAATTTTTAACTGTGACCATTTGAGTAGAAATTGCCTCCCTCTGAAAATGGCAACTTTAAAGTAAGGAGAAAGAAGACAATGAAGATGTTTCTGCAAAACCTTATTTTGTACATTGTAATGAAATCAAGCAGATCCATTTACATTTGCAGCAGGGAGTTAACAAAAAGGGTCAACAATGCCCAGTCCTACTATAGCAAAGACATAAGTTCTCACCCTTTGTTATAAGCTTCCTCTTCTATTTTGGCTTTTGCTTCTGGGCTGATCTCTTCCAAGCTAGTTTCTGTTGATGCTGAAGGACGGTGTTCACAATCCAGGTCGCTGTTTGGTTTTCCACTAAAAGGTTTAAAAGAAAAATGATGCATCATTATTTAGGTTGCATATTAGGAGCATGTGGCAGAGGTGGGTTGCTCCCGGTTTGGCCTGGATCAGGCGAACCAGTGATAGCAGCGGCGGGTAGTAAAAAAAAATGTAAACCCACCACTGGTGTGTGGTATCTTTCTCTTCCCTCCCTCCCTCCCTTCATATGTTTAACCATCTTTGGGATTGAAAGGCTAAGGCTACCATATCTGAATGGTTACCACAGGGCAGCAAAAAGGCAGTGTTTTCTATACCTATTTCCTGCTGTTTTGCAGCCCAGATATAGTACTCCTAGGAAAGGCTAATTTCTTAAGTCTTCACATAACATTACAAAAACACTACCCAGGCCAATCAAAATTGGAGAAAATGATGTATTTTACAGTTTTGATTAGATAGAGCACAATTCAGCAACATTACATGCCTTGTACTCTTTGAGCAAAATTAGACAAGATGCCCCCATGTAGATCAGGACTGCAACTGGATGGTTGGGGAGAATTCACTTTAACCCATTTCTGCAAATTGTCCAAGTAATAGTCCCCCAAAAATGATGTATAATTTATGCTTTTCTCCCAGAACAAGTAACTGATGCAGCTTTTATTTAAAAAGAAGTTGTTTTTTTTTTAAAAAAACCACAGGAACACAATCTAGTTGTTTCTCATCTTGTCTGATTTATTTATGATTGTACCAAATATCTCATATCACAGCTTCATGGTCCTCTGTTTCCTGGAAGGATCTATAAGAAAGCAAAAAATTCCTGGAAAATACTATAAAAATCACACTGCTTTTCATGGGAAAGTCTTTTCTTTACATTTAGGAGTTATTTAGGCAACAAATTCCCTCTCTAATCTTTTTTCAGTTCCTCCTCCTCCATCAGGTGTCAGCCAGTTCTGAAAAGGTACCTACTTTATATTACTCATCTCACCTGGCCTATTGTGCTTCCTACCAACATATACAAATAGCCACATCCCCTCTTCAAATAATAACGGACACTATTGACATGCCTCAAATGAAACACACCCCAAATTACTGTACACCAGGCTGATTGCTGCTTGAAGAAAAGGGAAAGAGAGACTGGGTTTCTTCAGGCCACCATAAAACAAACAGAGAATCTTAAACTGTCTTGCTGTTATTATCCTCTGTCTCTGACTGAAGACAATTGAGTCACACCATTGCAGGAATGCATAAAGTATGATATGGGAACTGCAGACTGCAGAAGATGGCCATTGAAACCAATTCATCCTCCTCCCCTTTCTTAGCTAAGGGAGCCAATGTTGTCCGAAGATGCTTCGGTGGTCATGAGGCCAGCATGAGTATATACTGAAGCACATGGAACATTGTTCCCTTCTTTACCTTTTATCTTCTGCTTTCAAACTGCTAGGTGGGCACTGGGCAGGAACTGGGGTAGGAACAGGAGCTCACCCTGTTGCCCAGCTTTTGGGTCTCAGTGTCTTTAACTACTGAGCCATCGTGCCCGCCTATTGTTTCCTTAAAATTTTCATATCATCTTTGTTTGATAGACAGTTGCTCGTTGTTTGTTCAGATTTAAATCACTTCCCGTAGTCCTTATTTTTGGACCTAGAAGCTCCCACTAAGAACATGAAGTATTGCCTCAATGTGTACATTCTTAATAAGTTCCCGCCATAGTTTTTGAATTACCATTCTTCACACAAAGCCCAGTATACAAGCACTTACAGTTCATCAATCACCCCGTTAACTTGAAGGAATTTCTTACACAATCATACCAATAGTTATTACTATACTGTTGCTTTGTTTGCTGAAAACAATTATTACTCATAAGTAACCCAGGCTTTGCCAAGACCCAATTGTTGTTTCTTATTTACTGAAACAACTTACCCTATAGGTTCCCCAACTATTGCTTATATTTAAAAATAGAGGGGAAAAAATAAAAACAAGAAATTATAAGTGACCCAAGGGAAAATGTAAAAACAGAACTGGTATTTAGCCAGTTCTGACAGGTTCTGGAGAGCGGATAGCGGAAATTTTGAGGAGGGGAGGGAATGGAGATTTTGCAGTCTCCTTTCCCTGCCAAGCCTACAAAGCCACGCCCATAGAACTGATAATAACATTTTTTGAATCCCACCACTAACTTCCACCCTCCCCACCCCATAGGTGCTTGCAGTTTATTTATTTATATTTATATTATTTATATTTATATTATTTATATTTATATTTATATTATTTATATTTATATTTATATTTATATTTATATTTATATTTATATTTATATTTATATTTATATTTATATTTATATTTTCAACACTTTATGTATGTGTGTATAGA